TTAGATGAAATAATAGACAAATGTATTAAACTGAATGAGAAGACATGCAAATAAAAAGTTTGATAGTAAGAGTTTTATGAATAGGGTGGCCATATGTGCCGTTCATACGGGACACGTCCTGGCCAGGATTTTTATATTGCCTAAAACATCCAAAGTAGTTTGACCAATAACATGCAGGTATTGTATATAATCGACCAATCGTGGCGCGTGAGAAGGTGAGATCTAAGAGAACATTCAAAGCGATGCAAATACGCGTACGTGTTTGCTCGTTCGTTCGACTTGAAGCGTCGCCGCGCACCAATCATTGAATGACACCAAAGTACCGCGAGAGCGATTCGAAAGCATAAGGAGCCGTCTGCTCTGTTCTCTATAGCTCTCGTGAATGTCATACAAAGATCGATCTGCACAGTGCAAACAGCCAAAACCTGGATATTTTAGGCAATATAGAAATCCTGGCAAGGACACGTCCCGTAAAAATGACCCGTATAAATCGGTCACCCTATTTATGAAACACAGTTACTATGAATGAAACATTTATATAGATGAAACACTTATTTTGTGTAGTGAAGAGTACTTTGTGATTGTGTGTATTGTACTAAGACAATTGAAAATATGTTGAAATGTTTGAAAAAAGTGCACTTTTGATGATCTGTTGTGATATTAGTATGAAGAGTTATGAAAATGTAACAGTTGCTTGTGAAAATAGTACCAAAGCGAATAAAAAAAACCTGTACCATGCTAATTAAAGCAAAATATCACTGTATACACAACCGTTCAAACATTCGGGTTTGGTTGCAAATTTTTTTTTTTTTTTTTTTTTTTTTTATGTTTTGAAAGTCTTTTATGCTCACCATGGCTGTATGTATTTGATAAAAAATGTAGTAACATTAATATTGTGAATATTTTGCATTTTAAAATGTCATTCATTCCCGTTATGTCAAAGCTTAATTTCACGCTTTCATTTTTGATCAATTTATTGCATCCTTGCTAAATAAAGTATTACATTTATAAACTTTTGAATGGTAGTGTAACTCAGTGTTTCCCAACCTTTTTTCTGCCTCGGCACAGTTTTCATAAATAAGAAAATCCCACGGCTCAACACTAAGCACTAAAAAAATTCGGAAATACTTTTTTTTTCAATAATTAAACAATGCGTCGTCAGAGTTGGTGTTTTGGCTTTATATATGATCAGACACTGCACTTACCATTTTGTGAAAATCATGTTCCAATGGAGTTAACGTTTTTCGTTAAGCGAATGACGGAGATCTGCATTTTGTCCATCATTAGAATGGCCGCATCTGAGGCAGTAAATTAATCACATGATGTTTTCATCAATTTATAGGTTATAAAGTTTATTATAGCTATATGGGGGCTCGTTTTTTTCTTGTTGTTTAATACATTTAGCCAAAATCTCGTGATGTATTTAAAACGTACAAAAGAATATTGGCTAACTAGACAGCAAATGCTAAGACTCCTCTCCGCTCTTCAAACAAACAAAAACATTAGCCTTTATGGACAGTGTTTCTTGAGTAAAGAAAATGCTGTACTTATTTAAATGTCAGTTCTTTAATTTACCCTTGCATTGCGAAGAAGTAGACGTCTGTTGTCAAACTGTGCCTCACGGCACTTTATTCTGAATGGAAACGGGGTGGAGTTATGAGGTTTGACTGACAATTTGAGGATCCAGGTTTAGTCACAAGCTCTTTGAATACTTTTCATTGGTTAAATACGTGTAAAACCCACAAACAGTCATAACGATGACCAATATCACTGATTTAAATCATAATAACGAAATATATTAGAGAGAGGACATTTTTGATCATTTTCCACAACACCCGACAACCTGTCACGGCACACTAGTTGGTAGCACAGAGGTTGGGAAACACTGGTGTAACTATACACAAAATCTAGACCTTGCTAGTTGACTAATTGTTACTCATACATACATAGATGCATGTTCTTGCATTTGTCAATATCTGTGAATAAAATATTCTTTCACAGCCTTCGATTTGTGGATTTGCTTTGTTGTCTTCCTTTAAGTCTAGAGTATTTGTATTGGCTGTAAGCAGATGACAGTATTAAACACTCTGCAGTGTGAAAGAGTTTAGCCTCAGGCAGCATTGGAAAGGTTCTGTGAGGACTCAGTAGTAGAGCAGGCTGATGTCATCGTGGGTTTTAGCTGCCAAATCACTGATGAGCTTGAAAATGCCCCTTAAAGGGCAGGGACTTGACTGTTATTAAAACCAGTCAGCTCTGGTAGGAATAGACCAAGGGTTATTCCCTCAGTCTGAACCATCACCAGCGCCCATACTGACGCATTTTAGTTCTTATTATATTTTCCCTTGTCACTCTTCATTTTCTCCTCCTTGTCCTCAGTTTCTTCTCCATCCAACCAACCTCCAGTTATTATCTCCTCCTTGCTAGTGCCTGTGCTCCCCTTCCATTCCCCTCCTCTTTCCCTTGATTAAGTGGAGATGGGAGCACATCTAAATTTAACCACACTTCATCTCCCAGCTCCCCCTTGCTGTGTTTGATACTTTTGTTATCCCTCTCAGACTGATGGTGGAAAATTGCTTATAATGTTGGTGTAATTTTATATTATGGAAGAAAGATGTGTGTTTTACCTACGTTCTAGGTTTTCCAGCCGTGTGTGTTTTGTTACACTCATCCCTCCATCTCATTAACTCTGTTTTTCTGCAACCCTTGCTATATTTCACACCCTTTTTTCGTATTCCTTAGCAAACACTCTCTTACAAATATTCCTTTCCTTTCCTCACTGGTGGACCCTCCATTCTTTGTTGGAAAAACACACACACACACACACACACACACACACACACACAGACACACACACACACACACACACACACACACGCACACACACACAAAAAACAATCTATGTTTCAAAAAACAAAGCAAACTGAAGTGCGCTTAGGGGGATTAAGTCTGATAGATACACTTTTAGACTAGAATGATACATTAAAAGCTTTGCAGACTTGTCATCATGGTATACTGGAGAGCCCTGATTGGTAGGTGGCATAGATGGATGGACGGATGAGCAGCCTGCTTTTTTGCCTCTTTCTCCTTGTGCCCTTGGGTGTCTACCCACTAAAGCTACATTTTAGCCTTGTGTGGTCATGCCAGTTAAACTGTGCACTGTGCTGCATGGCTCACTGTGATAGCTTCAGCTCCGCTATCACCCAGTCTGCTCAAACACCTGCTGACCTGGATTCACAGCGGCAGGCTGTCGACTCGTCAGGCAGGTTCTGGTCCAGAAGCATGGCAGCTTTGAGGAATGGAGTCTGCCAGCTGCATAAAACAGACAAACGAAGACAAATGAACCTGTCAGAGTGCTCAGTGGCTGCACACTGTACTCTCTGACCTGACCTAATCCACTGCTTCTCTGGTCTGAATGTCAACTGGGTTTTGCTTGGCTGAGGAATTCCAGAATTGTGTTGTTTTGTGAAAGCTCCAAGTTGTGCTTATTTCTTCCTTGACTCAAAAAGGATGTGAATTGTGATAAAGTAGCAGAATGTGAATGTGAAACTACACTGTTAAAAAAAAAAAAAAAAAAAAAAAATCAAGAAAAGCAAATTATATCCTGACATAAATTACTGTACCAGTATGTTTTTTTTTTCGTGGACATTTCCTTTAACCCTAAAACACAATGCAATGTGTATTTCAAAATTCAGGTAAAACATCTGAAAAATCAATACAGAAAAATTCCCTGCAGGTGTTTTCTGGTTGAATTCAAGAGTGTTGCTAGTTGGTTATTAGGATGTTGGGGGTGGTTGCTAGGTTGCCACCCAAGTTTATATATGATATTCTGGTCCCTGGACAGATATGGTTGAGTCTTTGGATTTTTTTTCTGCCCATTTTATTGTCTGCCAGATATAAATTTCATGTCTGATTGATTTGAAAAGTAATAGTTATGGCACATGCAGAGAAACTGAAGACTTTCTAATGGGATTATTCATGTCTTGATTGTATAAAGTCCATATTTGATATTTGGTATGTCTGACATTCATTAGCTTCTGTGTGCATACTCCCTCCGTATCTGTTATGAGAGTCAGTCTGATTAGTGCCAAATGGCTTGGGGTGGAAATCCCAGATTACACATTCTAACTACTGCAATGACATAATGTGTTTCCTTTAGGAGGCTTTGTTGTGGATTCATTTTTAGGTATTATGACATAGATACTGTAGGCCAGTGCTGCAAGCACATATGTTTAAACTAGCAAGACCACCAGCCCAGCAAACATAAACCTTTTATCTCCTTTCCTTTCAGTGGGACGGGCAAAGTGACAGTTAGTTCTGCCATCATTAACTTTTGCTTTTTTCTGTTACTCCAAAATGAATTTCATGATCATTTCATCATTCTGTAACTGTTTTTAAAATGTTAATGTGCATGGCTGAATTGCTACATAAGCTTTTCAGCATCATGTTACCGAATCATCTTATTTGGGAATTCAGTCAAATCTGAATATTTTTAAAGGATATTTTTTTTCTTTATGAAGCCCAAGATTTTAGGTTGTGCTAGGTAAAATTAACTTGACACCAATAATTTAAAATTACAAATACAGAATTAAGAATAGCAAAGAAAAAGCAGGGATATTTTTGATATACAATTGCAATACACAGTCCAGTGCTGCTGGTCTGTGATGTAATGTAGGATGTGGTTAGTTTATTCTGAATAGGCCAGAGGAAGGGCACCATAGTTAATTTCCCTTGGATGACATGAAGCTCCATTATTGTCTAAAATGTGCCTGAATGATTATGTGCAAAAAGTCGTTTCAGGTTGAAACATGCATTGTGTTTGGACTTAAACTTACAGACATGCTTGAACACAAAGAACTTTCTGTGATGGATCATGAGACAATTTCCATCTTGCTTTGTTGCTAAGATTTCTTTACTAGAACAGAACTGTCTAGAATGACATAGAAGTTTTCTTTCTTTGTGGTTCACATAGTGTTTAATTTTTTCTTCTTTTCTTCTCCAAGGATCCTTCAGTGGCCAAGGTCAGTGGAGGGAGAAAGAAAACTGTTTCCTTCAGCAGTATGCCATCAGAAAAGAAGGTGAGCAGTGCTGCAGATTGCCTTGCCTTCATGCAGGGTGGCTGCGAGCTAAAGAAGGTGCGACCCAACTCGCGCATCTACTCGAGATTCTACACTCTGGATCCTGAGCTGGCCTGCCTCCGTTGGGAACCCTCCAAGAAAGATGGTGACCGAGCTCGACTTGACATCTCCGCTATCCGTGAGGTCCGCACAGGGAAAAGCACAGAGACCTTTCTCTACAATGGCCCATCTGATCACCTTGCTGAAGAAGCAGCCTTCTCCATCATTCACGGTGACGAGTATCAGTCTCTGGACCTGGTTGCTCTCTCTGCCGATGTGGCCAACATCTGGGTGACAGGGTTGCGGTACCTGTTGTCTCACCCTGGTTCCATTGGTGGAGGGGATGGAGGGGTGGGAGAAGGCAGTATTGGGAACAAGATGAGGCAGAACTGGTTGGCGGCTGAGTTTGCTCTCGTTGATGAAGATGGTCACGGAATTGCGTCTGAGGACACAGCAGTGGCCACCATCTGTAAACTCTGCCCTGGCATTAGGGAAGCAAAGGTAGGACATTCTTTTATAATTCAATTTATTGACCACAAAATCTTGCATTTCATGAGTAAATGGGTTTAGAAAAAGCCAAGCAATACTGAATGTCTGACACCCCAAATTGAAAGCAATCATGAATGCATATACTGTGGCGGTTTTTATGTAGGACGCATAAAATAAGAATCATACTACTGTCCTAGAGCAGTAAGAGATGAAAAACAAACACTGAAAGAGCCATAAATATGAACAGGCAATATGATTGTTGTTCCAGAGCTCTCTCTGTATCATTACTTGGCTTGACTTGATAACCAGCCCTGCTGAGGCAAACAGCAATTGTTTAGTTTTCAATTTGGCAGCTGTGACAGTAGTTTCATCCATGTGTGTTTGTGTGTGGACTGGACAGCTGGGGACAGGAGGAGGACAGACAGAAGCCACAGGGCCAAGTCTCCAAGTCTTTGTGACAGCGGGTGTGAGGCATCTGCTTCATGTGTCTAGAGAGACATGTAAAGGCAAAAAGGGCAAGCATTGAGGAGCTGACTGTATAGGCATGACTCACTTTGCTCCTGGCTGTATCCTAATCTTGAAAAATGCAGGACAAGATCTAGGCCCTGTGAAGTGCTACTGTTCCTGAATTTGTATGACTTGTGACATTTTGTCTCTCAAGATTCAAATCACTATCTGCCGCAAGCTGCTTATTTGATTTGCCTCTGGTTTGTGTAATAGTTTTGTTCTGTGATTGCTCATTAAGTTTCAAAGTTCTTTTCAAGGAAGAATATCACCCCCCAGCATTTCTTATTCAAGAAACAAAAGCTAAAAAACTGATGAGACAGGCTTACATTATAAGCAGATGATAATTACAGTAGACTGCAGAACTCTCAAGGCCTTGGTCATCAATAACCAACCGTTACCTGACAGTAGTCCTAATGTTCTTTTTTATTATTTAGTAGATACTTTAAAGGGATAGTTCACCCAAAAATGAAAATTTGATGTTTATCTGCTTACCCCCAGGGCATCCAAGATGTAGGTGACTTTGTTTCTTCAGTAGAACACAAACTGAGATTTTTAACTCAAACCGTTGCAGTCTGTCAGTCCTATAATATCAGTGGATGGGAATCACGGCTTTGAGAGTCATAAAACATACGCAAACAAAACCAAATTAAACCCTGCAGCTCGTGATGATACATTGATGTGAAAAGACAAAACAATCGGTCTGTGCAAGAAACTGAAGAGTATTTATATAGTTTTTTACCTCTGATTTTCAACGCAATGTCCGAACATTCCTGAGCGCGTTCACGTCCTGCGCGTGAGGCGTCTTCTTCTTCTTGCTTTACGGCGCATCACATACGTATAAGTGCATTACCGCTACCTATCTCTCAAATGGATCATTGACACTCCTAATTGAGATTGTAGATAGAGTGTCAATGACTCTCAAAGCCGTGATTCCCTTCCACTTGCATTATAAGACTGACAGACTGCAACGGTTTGAGTTAAAAATCTCAGTTTGTGTTCTACTGAAGAAACAAAGTCACCTACATCTTGGATGCCCTGGGGGTAAGCAGATAAACATCAAATTTTCATTTTTTCATCAAGCAAGGCATTCCCCCTGGAGCAAGTGCCTTGGGCAATAGCAAAATGATAATAGTTTGTAGATTAATCCCTTTTCTAATCATGCTTTAAAATAACAAGGTTTGGGTTTCTAGTTCAAACTGTTATCCATAAAAGTGCTGCCAACACAAATGTGTACTAATAACGTTAATACAACTTTCTTTTTTCTTTTTATCAGGTGCGATTGCGCTTTAAGGAGATTCAGCGGAGCAAAGAGAAGCTAACCTCTCATGTTACACTGGAAGAATTCCAGGAGGCCTACTGCGAGTTGTGTACGCGACCTGATGTCTATTTCTTGCTAGTGCAACTCTCAAAAGACAGAGAGTGCCTTGATGCCCAAGACCTGCGTCTTTTCCTAGAGACTGAGCAAGGTCTACCATTGGCCACCACTGAGGGCTGCTTGGAGCTTCTTCGCCGCTTTGAGCCTTCTACAGCTGGGCATGAACGAGGTCTACTGGGCTTGGACGGCTTTACCTGCTACCTACAGTCAGCTGAGTGCCAGTTATTAGACCCTGAGCACCAGAATGTGTGCCAGGACATGAAGATGCCCCTATCTCATTATTTCATCAGTGCCTCCTACCGCTCCTACCTGCTGGATGACCAAGTCCATGGCCGAGCTGATCTTGGGGGTCTCATTCGAGCCCTGCAGGCTGGCTGTCGTTGTCTGGAGTTTGGGGTTACCGATGGGCCAGAAGGGGAGCCATTATTGGGTGTAGACCATGGTACAGATGGAAAGCATCATCACCACCACCATCATCACCATCACCATCATGGTTCTGTTACTTTGCGCAGTGCCCTGGAAGTAGTCAACAAGTATGCTTTTCTCACCTCCCAGTATCCTCTGCTGCTGTATCTATGCCAGCGTTGCTCACCTTCCCAGCAACGTACTCTTGCACAACACCTAAAAAAAGTTTTTGGACCCAAGCTCTATACCCCTGAATCTCTGCCTGTCAGTCTGGGAGGTCGTGCAACCACTTTGCCCTCTCCAGAGCAGCTGAAGGGAAAGGTGCTTCTTGTGGGAAAGAAGCTGCCCCCCGAAGAGGAAGGTTCTGAAGGAGAGGTATCTGAGGAGGATGAGGAGATTGGTGGTGGTGGTCCTCTGGCTGGCAGAAGGATGACTATCCCTGGGGAAGAGGAACTGGGGGTGGTCCTTGTTGTTCCCCCGCCCCCACAGCCAAGGCGCCTCCGATTGCGGCGTGAATTGTCTGATCTCGTCGCGGTTGCTCGTATTGGAAGTCGCAACTTTTATGCTCACCGGACGAGTGCACAGCCATCCCAACAGCATTCCCCCCTCTCCACTCCATCTACACCAGGTACACCTATGACCCTTGACCCCCCTTACTGGACCCTGTGCTCTCTTGGGGAGGGAGAGGCAGGACGGCTGGCCAGTGAGAGCCCAGAGGAGCTGGTGAACTTTACCAAGCGCAATCTAACTCGTGTGCGGCCCAGCTCTGTAAGGCTAGACTCTAGCAACCCAAACCCACAAGGCTACTGGAAAGGAGGTGTGCAACTGGTAGCACTCAACCAGCAGACACCAGGTGCCATGCTAGACTTGACCCGTGGCCGTTTTATGCAGAACGGTGGGTGTGGGTATGTTCTTCGTCCAGCAGTCATGCGAGAGGAGGTTTCCTACTTCAGTGCCCAGTCACAAGGCTGTGTGCCTGGTGTACCACCACAAACACTCAGGGTGAAGGTCATTAGTGCTCATAGTCTTCCCAAGCCACAAGGCTCTGGTGCCAAAGGTGAGGTAATTGACCCATATGTGGTGCTGGAGCTGCACGGAGTGCCTGCAGACTGCACAGAGCAGAGAACTCGCACTGCTGCCCAGAACCAGGATGATCCACTGTTTGACGAGACCTTTGAGTTCCAGGTGAGAGAGCGAGAACATCATGAATATAAATCTAATTTATTTCATATGTGATGTTGGAACACTTTATTGAAACTAAAGCCGGCCTTGCCACCATCTCTGATATTTGCATATGGTTTTTGCATTTTGCCCCCTAGTGGCAGTTGTATGTAACTTTCAAATTGGTTGTGAAGTAGCCAGTACTGTAGCCATTACTTTATACTTTTTTTACCATGGTAAAATGAATGAACAATGAATGTACACACACAAAACAAATGATCAGCAGTACATCTAAAAGAAAAACGTTTTCTAGGTCTACTCAATGTAAATTATTTAACAATGATAAAATCACCGTTTTGGATATAATTATTCATAACTGCCCATTTTACGGAAATGTTTTTGTATGTGACAATTGACCCTTCGCAAAGACCCACCCTCCTTGCTATCTCCGGCAAACAATGCCGCTCTCACACTACACATCATGTTCTCATGCAGTAAAAAGTACATTGCAGAGTAAAGAGGAAACACACTGACAGACAAGACAGAGCAGGTTACTTCTGGTACAAGGTTTCAGGACTCACAGCTTTCAAATTTGGTCATTTTTAAAGAAATTTTAACAATAAATACCGTTTTGTGGCTCTTTAATGACAGATCACTGTATTGCCTCAGTTAAAGCGCCATGTGAACCGATCATCTTTTCATGTGTACTTAAAGCACAAAATGAACATGAATGAAAATCAGAAAGTATTTTATTTCAGCCGTGGAGTACACCATTATTCACCAAAGTCCACCGAAGTTAATCTACACTCCTGTCTGATTTAAAGGGATACAGCTACGGCTACATGGGCATGCGCACATCAGTATAGCGTAATTTGTATCACAATGTACAACAAAAATGACTGTTTTTGCATTATTGTTTAGGGTTGGGGTAGGTGTAGACGTTAATAAAACAATCTAATAGATAGAAAATGTAATTTATTGTTAGTTTCCGGCTGTAGCTGTCAGACAAGATGGCGGATTTGGCGTTATGATTGGTCAGATCGCCTGTCAATCAAGCTCTTTGTGAATGGTCAATTCTGCATACGAATATGAACGGAATACAGCTCCCATAAGGGAAATTATTGACTTCTGGTCTGTAGTTTGATGTTTTTCTGAGATAGAAAAAGACTGTATAAAACTTTGAGGCATGAGACGTTTTACATGGCACCTTGCCTGTGGGTTTTTGACTCGTGTTCTCTGGTGTGGCCAGTGATGTGCAAGGTTGTTCTGAGCTTCTCTGTGTGTATCAGTCTTGAGGGCAGTCTCCATTCTCATGTGTCTTAATCAGAATGCTGCAGTCCATGAAGCAGCAACTGAGCCATGTCTCACACTGATTACCTGCTGCATGGAATATTAGCACAGTTACGACTGAGCTCAGCTATGCCCCATCATCCTAAAACACATACTCATTGACCTCCCTTAGAAGATTGTAATGATGACAAGGTGCTTCCAAACTAACATGTTATATTTTGGAGGATTGTGTTATATTCTGAGAGGATTGTGTTTCTGTAACAAAAATATTATTGGCACTGCCTAGGCTTTGTATACAGGTTTCAGAGGACAACAAAATGGCTGAAAGCTAATTCTGCTCTTAGCGCTGATTCAAGACAGAATCTGAGATTTGTTTTGAAAGTTTGAATGTTTTATTTTTTTTGAAGACATGCTGATTTTCTCTCTATGTAGTTAGACAAACATATCCTGATAGAATGCAGCGAGTTTATAAAAGGTTAGCTCTCACTGGTTGCTCCATTTCTTTCATTTTTTTTAGCATGTGCTAACCTGAGCTGGAAACTATAACAGAAATGTCACATACATAAATAACATGAATGTATAGTGTACTGACCTGTGATCCACAACCAGAATGAGGTTAATGGATGCAGTCTGTCCTCATGGATGCACTGGGATGACGCAAGAGTGTGCAACTCAACACAACTCTTCTTAGATCTGTTATTAGGGAAGATCTACATCAAAACTTAATGGCCTGCTAACACTAATGCTCTTGCCCTGGATTGTAGTTCAAACCTACAGTCTAGATACCTCATTACACTGCTCTATAAGTGGGTGCCAGTTTCTTCCAGCCTTTTTTTTTTTAATGATGTGACCTTTCTTTTAGCAGGGCCTAATTACAGTTGCATGCCAAATTTAGACAGCTTTAATTACGTGATGCAAATTAAGAGTTTCTTGGTGCAGGTGTGGGTTTGTTTTACCTGTGATTTCCAGTGCAATGAAGTGGACACAAACATGCAGCACTCTGGGTGTGTAGCAAGACTGCTGAAACCAATCAGCCTACATTTTTACAAGGTTCATCTGAGGAGAGTTAGTGTATGTTTGAGGAAATTGTGTTAGCAGCAATTTTTGAAGGCTAAAAAATGTTTTTGTCAAGAATACTAGTTTCTATCAACAAGCAGAGAGATGTTCAAGCACTCAATAAACACACTATTGTCATGTATTTTTTCATTGAACCAGAATCCATTTGCAGTGCTATTATCCATATAAAAGCAATGGGTACCATCATGACATCTCCCTGCTTCTGTTTGCCTGTTGTCCCTTTTTGGCTACATTAAAAATCCTTGTCGAAGCTACGCTCGCACACAGCAAACCAGAACTGTTCGTTTTGTAAGACCGAGTTAAATATAAACCAGCTAATATTGTTTGCCACAAAAAATACAACTTTTCAAGGATAAATTATAACAAAGCACCTTGCATTTCATGGTGAAACAAGAGGAAATTGGAGGCTTTAAAATAGGGGCGTGCAATATGCAACACTGATCATGGACGATAAAAATATCTCCTCGATCTGCTTTTGAAGAAATATCGTAGTATCGCGCTACAGCGCACATTTTATCAACTGCAGTTCTGGCGCCTCCATCTCAATATGCTGTACAACGCAACATACATTCACTACAGTGTTAACTCAGTGGTAGAGTTACACTCACGGAACACTGCACTTATTCGCAATCACAAAAGTACATTATTTGCATGTGCTTTAAAGCCGGTTAAACATTTCATTCACATGCTCTTCTGACGTGCGCTTTTTCTGAAGCGCGTGCACTAAAAAGCTTGTCAAACAGCGTCTGATTACTGAACTAAGTTATCTTTTGCGCTAATACAGTCAAAACACATAAGGTTATAGACTCATTTGGTTATGCCTAAAATGAAAATAAACCATTTAGAGAAAAAACCCCGGATGCGTGCCTGTACTGTATATTAGATGCGTGCAGGTCTTAAAGGGACAGTACTAAACATGCTGCCGACTGTCATTAAAGGGATAGTTCACCCCAAAATGTAATTTCTGTCATTATTTACTCACTCATATATTGTCCCAAACCTGTATTAATTTCTCGCTTGTGCTGAACCCAAAAGAAGATATTTTGAAAAACGTGGGTAACCAAACAGTTCCTGGTCCACATTGAATTTGATAGTAGGAAAAAAATACTATGAAAGTCACTGTGGACCAGCAACTGTTTGGCTTTCCGTGTTCTTCAAAATAACATTTATGTTCAGCAGAAGAAAGAAACTCATTCAGGTTTAAAACAACTTTTGAGTGAGTTAATGATGGTATAAAAATAAAACACTATGACAGTAGAGAGAGAATGACAAAAATTGTATTTTTGGGTGAACTATTCCGTGAATGTTAATAAAACAACAAAACACAGGGAAAAATCACTCACTACTCTTGACTGAAAAACTTCAATACAGCTGCTTTAAGAGGAATCAGTCTATATAGTGTTTTATTTTTATATTTGTTCATTCAATTTCTTGAATGCTCCTGCTAAATGCACCTATTGTACCTGAAAATAAATCACTGTTTGTTTTATTTGTGTATTATGTGTATTTGCAATGTGTATCTTTCTTATTTATTTAATAACTAAGATAAAATAATGACAAAGATTTTTATCTTCGCCCACTTTGGCCTAAATATCCACCATTCTTTTTTAAAATTTTGTTACCTTGAAAGGCTTTGTCTTTATAATAGGGAAATTAGTTTGGCTGCCCGAAAAACATAAAAAAAAAAAAAAAAAAAAAAAAAACAACAACCGTGATATGATATTTTTGCCATATCGCCCACCCCTACTTTAAAATTAAAATATCCTTTATTAGAATATGACAGTGAAAACTTTGACAGGAATATGCAGTAAATAAATACTTCTGTATTTATTGCCTGTGTTTACCCTACACAGTTATTGCATTTGTCATGTTTAGACCTGTTAAATGCTCCACACCACTGACTAGAAAACAACAGTCTTCCGATATGAATCTCCAGACACTGTACTTCCATGTTTAGTATAAAGGTAGATATGTGCCTTTTGGATGGGTTTCTACATCATACACATTGCATTGCAAGTAGACAGTGATAAAAATTGTGGGTGAGACTTGTCCTTAGCGCTTATAAATTTAAATCCCTGCTATTGTAATTTAAAGCAAATACTGTGCCATATGGTTATTTGAAGAGGAGGTTTTGAGAAGGATCCAGTGAAATCACAAATATATCTCTCACGCACACACTTATTCTGTCCTGGGGGATTGTGCCTCTTGTTGTTTGCATTTGTTTGTCTCTTGTTGCTTGGAGCTCAAGGACGTCATACAATTATAAGTCATGGGAGTGGTACACCTATCAGAGTCCCGCTAACAAACGCACACACACACACACACACACACACACACACACACACACACACACACACAGACAGAGGAGCAAATGCGCATCTCCTGGTGGGATCTGATAGAATGCTTTTACATCTCTTCCTGTGGCCTTTTTCACTAAACAGATAAGCAACTGAGAGCTCTGTACCCCTAATGATGCCAGTCACAATGTCAAGTCAAATCATACTTATCTGTGTATCACTTTTCACAATTCACATTGCTTCAAAGCAGCTTTACAGAAAATCAGGATGTTGTTTGATGACATTTTAATAACTTCATGCCCAATAGCCGCATTTAACAGATTAGAGTTGGGTGATAATATATTAATACTCTTGCAGTTTGCAAAGATGCTAGCAATTCAGCAGTTGAGATTTGCTATATAACTCTTTATATAATGGTCTTTATATAATGTCTCTGTAGAGTATACATGTATTTGTCATACCTAGGTGTGTGCACGATCCTTTCTGTACTGTAATAATTTATGTACCATTGTATTTACAATACTTATTTGGTACTCTTTTGTTATTACAGCAACATACAGCCATGGTATTAACATGGTATTACCATGTCCAAAAACATGGTAATATCATAGAACTGTTTTGTCTGTAGAGTTCATTAAATTTGTCCATGTACAGAAGCTTGAAGCAGGTTCTCTGAGATGCTGCATACCTGTCTTGAACTATTTTCTCTTGCATGAGTTGTGTCCAGGCGTCTATGTGGGTGTCTGCTGCCAGCTGAGGCGTTTTATCTTTGTTGTCTGTGTTTTCCTGCCAGATTTTCTGTTTTTCATTTTCTTAGTATGAATATGCATATTCAGTGTGACATAACTCTTTTGTGTCTCACTTGTTTTGTGTGTGTGTGTTATTACATGCTGTGTATACATACATCTACATATCATGAATATGCACACACACACACACACACACACACACACACATCTCTCGATAACGATACATTTTCTTTTGGAGATGCGCAAATTAGTAATTTAAGTGATATTACTCTCAGGTACCATTGTTCCTGTTTTTCTGACACAAAGGAAGCAGCGAAATACAGACTTCCTGTTATTTTCAGTGTATTTGTTACTATGTGGGTATGCTTATTGGTTATGTGAACTTCTAACAATAGTTACACAATCATTTTTGTAAGTTGTTTCAGTCTGTAACAGTCCCGCAGTTATTCATGGTGTGCAAGATGTAGGCCTATGATTTTGTTAAATTGTGTCCTTATTTATTAATGTGTGTGTTTGTCCTACATAGCCAGATGTCCAGGTGATATTGTGTGTGCATGCTAAACATTTCCATATTTAAATAGATGAGACTGTGGGAATGCGCTTTATGCAAATGATCTTTTAACTACCATATTCTGCGGTGTTACAGTGGCACGTCTGGCTCAGTGGTCTGCACTACATTTTGCATGCTTCATATTTCAGAATGTCTGCTCATGTGTTAAGTGTCTGTTTATACACCCTAGATATTTAATTCTCCGTACAGCTGCATCTGTAGAATGTTGCACACCTGAAGAGGCCAAAAATTACATTTACGGTTTTCTCTTTTCAGGTGAACATGCCTGAACTAGCCCTGCTGCGTTTCGTAGTTCTGGATGATGATTATATAGGTGATGACTTCATTGGCCAGTACACCATTGCTTTTGAGTGTCTACAGCCTGGATACCGCAATGTGCCCCTGCTGGGCCTCGCTGGAGACCCTTTGCCCCACGGCAGCCTGTTTGTACACATCGCCATCACTAACCGCAGAGGTGGGGGAAAGGCCCAGAGACGGGGTCTGTCCGTCAGGAGAGGAGCACGGCGTGGACGAGAGTACGTCACTCTGCGTAACACGGGAATCAAAGTGCTGGATGACACTTTCCGCCCAGCCAGCGGACCTCTGCGAGAAGCTACAGACCTGCGAGAGGATGCACTGGTAAGGGAGGTTGTGCATGTTCAGACAACAGTAATACTAGCAATTTGACTTCTGCACTACTTAGCAGCCACACCCTGCTGAAAAGACCAGGTTACACATGTAGGAATTTCCTTTCTGGTTCAGGTTGGTTTATGTAGATTAGTGCGGTTTGGTGCTGGTCAGCCAGCATGGTTTTTTCCATGTGATGCTGGATGATCAAGGAAATCTTGCTGGTAATAGGGGATAGTTCACCCAAAAAATGAAAATGTACTCACCCTCACGTTGTTCCAAACCCATAAAACTTTGATTATTCTTCAAAGACAGACTGATCCAAAGATCCAGAAAGGTCATAAAGGCATCGTAAAATGAATCCATAAGATTCAAGCGGTTTAAGTTGTGTGTAGACATGCAATAGCTTCATAAAAAGAACAGATTCAAATTAGGCTTGCATGCCTGTACTTTCAAAGGAGAAACAGAAACCTCTCATGTTTCATAAAAAATATCTTAATTTGTGTCTTATGGTTTTGGAATGACATGAGGTTGAGTAAATGATGAATAGAGTTTTTTTTTTTTAACTATAGATCTTAATCAGGTTAGAGACACTGGTGAATTTAACCCAGATGAAAACAACACTGTGAGGGATAGACTTGCAGTCTTTGCAAAATCACACACTGTATAAAGGTCCTCATAACTTTCAAAACTGTTTTATGAAGTTATTATTCTGTTGAAAGTTATTTAGAAAGGCGTTTCATCAGCTGAACTATCGGTATGTTGTTTAATAACAGTACAGCCCATTGGACCTACTGCAACTCTATCCATCACAGCCTTGTTTTCATTCCTGTCAAAAATGTAAAGTTTATTGCTTTATGCTTGGGGCTGTGCTGGGGGCTAGCATCCTGATAAGTTTTTAAAAGTTATCAGTGCACTGCATAGAATCCTATAATCTAAAAGCTAAATAAATAGTAAATAATTTTTTATTTTTATTTTATTGGAATAATTTCTAAACATTTTATAATTAAATATTTGATTGTATTTCTAAATATTTTATATTCTTTCATATTCTATGGGTGCAGCTTTTACTAATGTGTTTAATTTTAAATGGATGTATTTGTGATTGGATGAGGCCACATTAGTGTCAGGGTAGCACTGGTCCATCTAGATTGACGGCTGGCTCTCCCAGTCAGAGCTGTCTAAATGTAATGGTTTGGAAATAGTGAACAAAACAATTAAGTAGCTTTTTGTCAGTGCTATTAGTGCTGTTCAGTGGCTCGTGCAGATCATTGGTGCTGTTTGTAAATATGTGTCGCTCACTAATAACATGGCCATGTCAGACACTGAAAACAGATATTATAACGAGACATTATGTGGATGAACATATTTTTTTCCTTTTCATTAAACATTTGCTTGCAGTGTACACAACAATAACTTCACATCCTAAATCCACTCACCTGAAGATTCGACCTCACTTGTTGCAATGCTTTGATACAGTCACTGACAGACTTTTAATAATCAGATGACATTAGATTGCAGGTCTCAGTTCTGAACATGTAAAAACCAGACACCTCCTCACTGGAGTATGGCCATCCATTGTAAAAGCAAACCTGAGTTCACTTGCCATTTCTGGGGTTTGTAAACACATTTCTAGCATCTCAATGTGTTGATCTGGATTTTCAAGCCCTAGAAATGAAACCAAGCAACACACAACAGTTCTGCTGACCTAGACTATGTGAAGTTGAGGTATGATTTATGGGTGACGGTAAGGGGAGGAGGGATGGAGGGTAGAGTATCTGTGGGGTCAGGTGACAGGGCCAGGATCATTTGCCATCGCAGTGTGTTGAGGAAGAGGAGTTACTCCACATCCATAATTACTGTGTTCACAAAACCTGCTGATCTCAGAGATAAACACACAACCAGACAGCAGCTCCAAAAACTATTTATTTTAGTCTTACCTTCTGTTAACCATCTGATCCAATGGTCCTTTTTGGTAGGATTATGAATCTTTTACCTCACACACCACAGGTAACAGACTTGTTTGTTTGATAATTTTAGCCCAAAGGCATTCTTGTCATTATTTGAATTAAAAGCCACTTGGTTTGATATATTTTTTTATTATATATAATGCAATGACATTCATACCTTTTCATTGTCTAAATACTTCATGGGGTCACTGTACACACTGGTCCCTTTTTCTTTCATTTCCATTCCATTTTGTTGTATAATATATCTGAGCCACAACAATGTCCACTTTATTCCCAGCATACATGGACTTCTTTCTCATACAGATAAACATAGATATACAGACTAATCATCACCCACATGAAGCCCCCTTAACACACACGTACATCTCCAAATGGCTTTGTTAATCACGGCTGTGGGTGTGTGATTCTGTCAGGTGGAAATTAGAAATGGGCTCTCTATCTGCCACAATGTAATGAAGGGAAATGTATGATAAAAAGCTGAAATGAGATTAGCTGAGGCCTTTGACAGTAAACAGTCATGCAGACACAGAAAGCTGTTAAATTGTACAGGTTTATCTGTCTGTATAAAGGAAAGAAGTCATTATTTTGGCTTATGTAAAGTAGCTTTACATAATAAAGTCAGTGTCAAACAATATAAATATCACTATTTTTCAAGGTTTCAGACTCTTGGCTCTCTTTTTTTTTTTTTTTTTTTTTTTTTTTTTTTTTTGACGAGATCTTGCAGTTGTGATCGTATACTTTTAGAGTACTCTGTATTATACTATTTAAAAGTTTGGGGTCCATTTTTTTTATTTTTAAAAGAATATTATAAGAAATAAATACATTTAGCAAGGTTACATAAAATTGATCAAAAGTGTATAATGTAATGTATAATGTTATTAAAGATTTCTATTTCGAACAAATGCTGTTCTTTCAAACTTTGTCTTTTAGAGAAAAAAATGTATTCCACAAAAATATTATCAATGTTGAAAGCAGTTGTGCTGCTTAATAAGAAGTATTTGTTGTGCATTAAATCAGCATAATAGAAGGATCATGTGACACTGAAGACTGGAGTAATGGTTGCTGGAAATTCAGCTTTTCCATCACGGGAATAAGCTATATTTTAAAATAAGTTGAAATAATATTTCACAATGTTTGTTTTACTGTGTTTTTTTTAATCAAATAAATACAGTGAGCACAGGAGACATCTCAAAAACATGCTACCCCTAGCCCAAAATTGGAAATATGCATTTATGTTTCTTTTGTTTATTAACATGACATTTTTGTGCTTATCGTATTGTTACGTACTTTTATCTCTGTCTCTTGGACTTACTGAAATATTTGTGTTAACCAAGTGTGTGCCTGTGTGTTCATGTTTTCTCTTTCTTTAGAGCTCCACAGTGGCTTTTAAAGAGCAGTGTGGGCTCCCCCCGATGGCCACACTGAAGCAGTGCATCCAGAGCTTAGCCACGAGGCTGCAGAGTCCAGATGGGCCCCCAAGTGCCACACTCACTCTGAAGGAAGGTTACCCATGCCTGGAACCGGTGGGAAACTTGACTGATGCCACTCGTAAACTGCTAAATGGTTATGACACGGTAAGAGACGGCCATTTATGTAGGTTATTTTAATGTCATGCATCATTGCCATTTGTTTTTCTTTTGGGCTGTCAGTGGTTCCGTTTCATAGACTATAATAGGCCAACTTTATGCTTATGCTAAATTTCCCAGGCATCACTAATGCGCAGATAAAACCATTTCCTAAATGTTAGGCTATTACCTGCATTACCTGCCATTACAATGGCATTTGTCTTTTTATCCATCCCACGTGTATGTGTGTGGGAGTAAGAACAGGCACATCGGAGTGAGTAAGACATTTCAGGCTTTAGTCACCATCCTCCTCCTCTCCTTTTGTTGGTTCCCTCATTCTCTGTCTCTCCCTGTGGGTTGACTCTGGGTTCTGACAGCACTGACTGGCAGGACTGCATTTTATAAATATCTGCACTGTGAGAGAGGGCAGCAGGGGTCTTCTCAGAATTTTATTGCTTAAAGATCTCTTTTCCATAGTTCATAATAGAGTTCTCAGATGTGTAATGTTTGAGCATTTTATGTTATGTCAGAAATGAGACAGTAGTTTGCATAGAGTAAAAGTATAGACCTATGAAATGAATGAATGAATGAATAATGTATAATTTAGCTGGGATAAGTCATAGAAGAATTTCATGCAAAATTATGAGCAGTTTCTCATTCTTTTGGGAGACGTGAGATCAGCAGGGTTATTTTTTTTTGAGGAAATTAGTCCTTTGGGTTCATATTTTTAGCCATATTCATAAAATTTGTGTATGTGTACAATACTGTTGAATAGTTTTGGGATTGATTAAATGTTTTCATATTTTTGAAAGAAGTCTCATCAGCTGGGATTGGAACAATGTTACAAAATAATGAACTACAGTTTAGGTGAAAAGTGACTTTATTTCTAACACACATTCCTTGGCTTGATTGGATGAAGGCTTCCAATGAGTCCACTGGTATGGTCATCGTCACTTTTTTTTGTCATAACAAAGACAAAAATTATATTAATATTCATAAAATTTGTGTATGTGTACTATACTGTTGAATAGTTTTGGGATTGATTAAATGTTTTCATGTTTTTGAAAGAAGTCTCTTTTGCTCACCAAGGCTGCATTTATGTTTTAATGCAGTAAAACGGTAATATTATGAAGTATCATTACATTTTAAACTGCTTTTTTTTTTTTAATATATTTTAAAATGTAATTTATTCCTGTAATGGCAAAGCTGAATTCTGACTCCAGTCACATGATCCTTCAGAAATCATTATAATATGCTGATTTGGTGCTCAAGAAACATTTATTATTATCAGTGTTGAAAACCGTTGTACTGCTCATGCATTTTATCCAGATTCTTTTTAGCACTTTTTTTGATGAATAGAAAATTCAAAAGAACAGCATATATTTGAAATAGGCATCTTTTGTAACATTGTAAATGTCTTTACTGTCATTTTGATCAATGCACTGTGTCTTTGCTGAATGAAAGTATTAATTTATTTCTGAAAAAAAATCTTATTAAAATATATGAGCAGATCATAATATAGTTCCTGTCTGCATCCTTCTTCAGATCATCGCTTCCAACAAACAGCTGATAGAAAATGCAGAAGGATTGCATGAGAGAATCGCACAAGTGCAGAAGGAAGGTGAGTAGAGGTGTGGGGGAGAAGATGAGTGGAGATTAATCATCTTTGTATTTTCTTTCCACCGAATGATGTTCCAGTCAGGCCCCAGAGGATGTGTGAAAGTCTTGAGAAACAATTCACAGATTTTTCAAATTTGCATTCAAAGTAGATCCTGTTATCCACAACACACACAGTCCCCTATCAACACTTTGAAACATTGCCTTTTATCCTGAAAAGTTCTGAGAGTTGTTTTGAAATGATGTAAGTCTACACAGTATCCAGTGTTGATGAGGTACTTATACTAGTGATGCTGTTAATTACATTTTCTAGTAGTGTGACAGCAGGGCTGTTGCTAATAAATCGGGGTCACTGGTACTGTTTATCTCGTGGGGCCCCCCTTTGGCAAAATCGCAGTAGGTCCCCCACCACTGGGGGTCCCTTGAAATGTCACACACTTTTCATCCCACAAGCAATGGCTCTTTTTTGTAGCTTTTCCAGTAACAAGCTACAAACTTTTTTCCAAAGCGTATTTGTTTTTGTAGCATGACAAACCACAACACCACTGTTATGTGAAATTGGACGCCCAGCTTTATTACCAAGTTAGTCGACGCAATATTCAAAGAATGTAGCTTTGGGAAGTCTTTTTTGTGTGACTCTTTTCGTTCTTGCGGTGTCATGTAAATAAACGATTCACCATTTAAATAAATCATTCACAGTCCCTGCATGGAGCTTTCTGTCTTCCTTTTTATATTTAATGTAGAAAATGGTGCTTTTATCACTGTGTTTGCAACCCAGGTTAAAAAAAAATGTAGGTGTTTTTAAAAGTTCGTAATCTGTATGATCTGTCACCCTAATTGACATTCCTTAATTAAACCCCTCAATGTTTTTATGCTAAAAATGATCAATTAACTATTAGTAAATAAAAAATATATTAGAATATTATAATAATAGTAATAGTAATAATTCATAAGTTTATTTGAAAATTGTATTTTGTTACTATATTTTTAGTAGCTTGTAATACAGCCACAGTAACTACTTTTTCAAAAGAGTAGCTTGACTGTTGTTGAAGTACTTTAAATTATGATAGCTCGACAAATTACAGTTTTGTCCATGGTAACTACCAAAATACTGCAGTTATACAGTTACTACTCTAAAATCTTGAGAAACTGATATGACAAGATAATTTAATGCTTTCTACAAGTACTAGAATATCCTCACTCTCTGTTTCTAGCCTCATTATCTCTCACACAAATATTTTTTACCCCCAATTACACATATCCGAGGCACTTAGGTCAAAATACTCTGTTCTTATGTCCTTATGAGGGTATATTGATGAAATAAGAGCGAGCGAGTACAGACAACACAGCAGATTAGGAATGAAAGGGCAGCTTACAGAGGCCATGCCAAGATTCATCACGGGAAGCACAATATTATCTAACCAGAGGATGAATGAGTACATATCATCCATTATTTGGCAGCTCAGTTCCTGCAGAAGCATGTTTGCACCATAAATGTCATTTTAAAAATCTCAAGCCAGAGAAAAAAAAAAAGATAAAATGATACATGTTATGTATGTGTTTGTTTTCTGTTATATGTTCTCTTAGGAATGGTGTTTCATGAAGACCTGGCCAGGTTGGGAGAAAAGGAAAATCTAAAAGGCCGTAAACAAAGTAAAGCTGTGGAAAGTTTCGCTTGGAACATCACTGTGCTGAAGGTAAATAGCGTGAACTTCTCTTTCCCTCCCTCAAATAGCCTTGAATTTTTGGATAATGTTTTCACTCTGCTTTTAGACGAAAGGGAGAAAGGCTTCTGTTGTTTTGAAATTCTATCTTGCAAACGTAAGTTGTTTGACCTTATAAATACAGCGTGTGTGCGGTGGACTTTTGAAATGAGCAGGTCCTAGTCGGTTTTAGTCGATTGGAAATTCAGGTTTCAGTTCCATTTGATGTTTATGCAGTTTATGGGTTAAAAGATTATGCAACAGCATTTACCTTACACTTGGGACTATAAACAAGAGACATTGCCATAAAAGCTATGAAAAGCCAAGTCTCTTCACAGTCTTGTTGTTTGGCTATTATTAGTAGTCGCTGTATTTTTAGAGCTTTAGTCAATAAATCTTCTATGTCCTTTAAAGAGGACATACATTTTTAATTATTTCGTTTTTCCCGCTGAGGTCCACTAATAAAATGTTTTTGTTTAAAAAATCGTTTAGTATTCATTATCATTTCCCAACAGGCAAATTTTTCCTGCTGTGACTTGTGTATGAAATACTTTGCAGTGAAGCACATCCAAGTGACTATAATACAAGTGACAAAACACAAATTAATTGTTCATAGTAAAATCCATGAAAATAAGATTTATGAAATAGATGGGGTGTTTTTTTTGACATAGTGAATGATTCAGTAACTGACTCCTGAAGAATCAGTCATGAATCAGTGCTTTTAAACAAATCGGTTTGAATGAGTGATTTAATGATTCAATGATTCACTCAAAAAGACAGTCACTTGTCGCCACCTACTGGTGTAAATATGAAACCTGCTTAAAAAGTCATCCCACTGCTAATGCACAGACTGTGAACCTAATCAAATTCATGCACCAGAGCTAATTGATGTATGTAGCTAACTGAACTTCATAACCAACCTGGTTCATGTAATTCATGTCTCTCTCTTTTTAGGGTCAGTGTGACCTCCTGCGCAGTGCTAAGCTAGATGCTTTGGATACGTTGAGGCAGCTGGCTTTGGCCTGTGAGGTGTCCGGCCTGATCTTGACCTCTGACGGTCATTACACCCCTCATGGCCTGTCCTCCAGACGTGGCAGTAGCCATGGCAATGGTCGCATCTGAGCCCCAGAGACATGCATAGGCATTGAGAGAGCATTTATTCATAGGTGAATGAATGGTTGATTGTTGAACAGACAGAAGGACAGAGATACAGGTGTCTCAGATGGACAGATGCTATTCGGGACATTTGTCCTTTATTGAAGTGGGTGCTTGTTCTAGCTCAGCATTGACCAGATGTTATTTGAGGACAAAATAAGGAATTTTCTTATCAAGACATACTGAATGAAGGACGTAAAAGGAATTAAAGCGAATTCCTCAGTGATATTAAATGACTGATGCCAACAGTGTAGATTTCGCTGGAATGAAAAACGTTCCTGCATACTCCTTGCAGTTCACAGACTAGAAATGTTCTTTCGATGTATAGATCTAAAACTGCAACTAATGTTAAATACAGAAGACTCGTTAGTCTTTCCCCTAGTTCATGACAAAACCACCAAAGCGTGAGGTTTGTTTACTCAGGTTAGCACATCTCAGAAATGCTTTTAGAAGGTCTGACATTAGTCTGCATCATCTTCAGGGCTGTATCTTCATCTGTGCTATCACTCAAATTGATTGACAGGTGATTCCCACCAGCAGGACAGCACCATTTCTGCCCCCAAGCCCTAGCCAGTCCAAAGTGTAGGGTATATAACTGGCGCCTCTCCGTTGAAGGCAACCATATCCTCATCTTCCAGTGACACGGATCGTCTTCAGCTCATTAACAATGCAGAATGAACTCAAGAAGGCTTTGTTAAAATACTGCTCAGTGCTCCCTAACTGTGTTAACTGAGCCGGTTACTCAATGGGACGACAAGTACCGATTACACCACATATCCATGTAACGCGTACGGAGTTCAGCTGGGATTGGAACAATGTTACAAAATAATGAACTACAGTTTAGGTGAAAAGTGACTTTATTTCTAACACACATTCCTTGGCTTGATTGGATGAAGGCTTCCAATGAGTCCACTGGTATGGTCATCGTCACTTTTTTTTGTCATAACAAAGACAAAAATGCTACTTAACATGGCAAGAATTGCTGCCGGTTGTTTGATTAAAAAATAACTAACTATTATAAACAGCTTTAAGCACTGAGAGGACTAAAGTAGATAAAAATCTAAAGTATAAACAGTTTTACAACTTTCATTGTGTAACATTTGACAGTGTTGTGATAGACAAAGAAAAACATTGGCAGTATTTTGTCTACTGCCATCAAAGACACTTACAATAGACTAGTTTTTGAAGTTTGCACCTTTTCTTTTCATGTTAACAGAGTAACAAATTAGATATGTGAGATTGGAAAACTATATATATATATTATTTTTCTTATGGTAGACAAGTAGAAGTGTTGGTACGTTGTGTGCGTATGTGAACGTACGAGTGCAAGGGTGCTAATGTAAATGTGTGTGAGATGTTTCAGTGGTACATGTTCTGAATGTGACCAGTCTGATGCCTGATCGATTTGGGCAGTTATTTTTAAACGAAACCCTTACTGTTGGTTGATGTTAGACATTTTATTTTATAAGACCAAGTGAGCATATTCACAACAGTGAATATGTAGAAATCGATAATGAATGGGATGAGAAAAGGCATAACATTTCCAGATGAGCAAACGTCCTGTTTTGTGTCTTTACTCTCCTTTTTAACACTTTTACTCTACTTTGGACTGTTCTTTACTACTTTTTATGTATTTACTTTTATGTATCTTCCTTTGTCTGTGCCATTGTTCTTTTCCTATTCTCTGTTTTTGACTGAAGGGCGAGCAATTCATGCCTGTTCTGTGACAGTTTTTGTGCGTGTTCACGTGTGAACTGAATGTGTACTGATTCCTAAAGTGTTCCTTAAAAACAAATTGTTTGCTAAAGAGTGAACAAAAATGTTTTGTGAATTATATAAGAGAATTGTAGATATTATATCTTTAATTGTCCCCATTATAATGCGTCCGTGCGTTTGTAACACTGGACCTGTAACCCAGAGGATCTGTGTACCTGTATAGGGGCCAAAATCTAAATAATGAATACCCATTCACAGTATTAGCTTTCCGTTCCAGTTGAGATGGCTCTTGAGACCAATCAGACATGTGAAGCGAGTTGTCTCACTTTAGACGGGTACAATTACTCTTATGAGCAATCGGATACAAATACAAAGTGTCACTGTCCGTAAGGGTCGATGACGAGCAAAATGAACCCCATTGAGGTGCACTTTAAACTAAACAGAGCAATCCATTTGGACTGGTCTATTGATTCCTGCAGTATTAGGTAGTGGTCAACATCTCAGGCGGTGCAATATTACTCTGCTGTTTGACGTTAAACATAATGACTAGTTTAATGAGGAGCATTAATCCAGCTGTCCTAATTTGTCGTTTCTGCTTTTTCCCCCCATGTGTGGTTACTGTGCGTTTGTTGTGTCTGCCTTTCCTCTGACTCTTAAAAATTAAATATATTGTTTAAAATATTTTGTCTCATTCTTGTTAGCAGTAGTTGTCCTTGTATAAATGGAGAGTATTTATTAAAGGTGACAAGCGTGCGTTAAACAAAGTAAACTTCAAAGCTATGTTGCTTTTATTTTGAAATGATGCTTTGTATTTTATAACATTAACAAGTTGATGTAACACAGATGTGCCCCAGACTAAATAAAGCTATCTTTTACTGACTGCTGTCTCTTCTGTTAACCGTAACTGTTGTGTCTTATCAATACTGCTGGAGCTCTTTAGCCATTTAATGGCTTGTGTTTGGGTATGTTTGTTAATAGGACGCTTATCCAGTCTACTTAATATTATTTTGTGGGGAAACGGTAGCTATCAATAACGACCATGGGAAAATATTAAAAGTAACCAGCAGGTGGAGTTGTTTCCAGTCTTTAAAATCCGAGGATTATTGCAGGCCTGTTGCTATACTACAGAAGTTATTTCATGCCTGTCAAGCCTATTGTAATTATTTATTCAAATATTTCTTATGTGTACCAGATGCTTATTTGGACTTAATTGCATTATAGCATCTAATCAAGAATTTAAAGTATTTTAAGTATGTGTGCTTTATTAATATACGCAAACACTTAACTCAAATGTCTAAACTTGCACACAATTACATTTTCAAGAAACAAACAAAAAAAAAACTTTGCACTCCTTGTGATTTCATTTTGATCTCCCAAGATAAAATTATATATTTCTCAGGTCTTCATGGCTTAAATATATCCTTTTTTTTGTCTGTCATACTGAACAAACAAGCCAATTCAAATTATATTCCACAAATTTATGTGTGTATCTAATGAAATCCATTTCAGTGTAAAGTGTAACTGACCTCAGATATCTCATTTGTCACTGCAACATGCTATTTGCCCTAAGGCCTTGTGCTTTTTACTAACTGGTAATATGCATGTCCAATTCGACTACTTAGAGTAGTGTGAATATGTTTATCTTACTTTTTTAAGCAACTAATGTAACAACTATAAAACCAGCTGCTTCTGAATGTAATGTTTTGACTCTTTCAGGATTTTGGTTTCAGAGTCATAGTCACAAACCGCCTCTAAAACTAATCAGTTAATCAGTCAAAAAGTAAGAATTAAAGCTTTTAACTGAGTGATATATGGACACTCAAGCTTTACCTTTGCAGTTATGATGCATGAACTAAGATTAAAGTAAACTATGATGAACAGATACAGTCTAGGTTTGCCTAAATGCAGTGCACTTAAGTATTTCCCCACCACTATATTTACTGTGTCATCATCATCATCATCAATAATATATTCTTTCTCATATAGGTTGGCTGTTATCAACAGGGAAACACCTTTTGGTCTATATGACCAACTGTATCCTGTTGTTAGCAAAATTACCTCTTGGTGGAGACAGTGACATAGAATTACAGTGAGAAATGAATATCCACACCATTCTCTGGAAAAGGCAGAAAAATTCAAAATTGAGTCAAATATATGAATAAAAATATTAATTTTATTATTATTGTTAATTTATTTTTCTTTACTGTTTTTCTTGAGTTTATCCAATCAGTGATGCTTTTATTTATATATTTGTCTTTGTCACAATTAAAAATGTATATATATATTTTTTCAAGTTGTCGCTAAAAAAAAAAATCAAACCCTAAGTGCTCTGATCGTGACCCAAAGCATGGCTGTGGAGTCTCTGCCCATTACACATGGCACTGGGTTTTATAGACACGCGCCCCACAGGACCAGATGTAAGAAGATGTGACATTGTGCCAAGCGGACAGGTGAAATGACAGGCTGATGGCCTCTAATGCAAGCGAACATCTGCCTGCTTTTGGTTTGTGTCAAGAGCATGCGCAGATCTGCCCTCCGATCCCGCCTGAGGCCATGAGAGTCAGAGTGCAGCTACGAAGACATTTTTCACTTTTAAAACACTTAAGACACTGACGGTCTATAATGGCCACAGTGCGGTCAAAATATTTTTTGAAACCTCCATTTTAGATGTTTACCATAAACCTTAGATCTTCAGATAAGTTCATTTGTGCTTTATAATGTTTCAGAACTATTTTTGAGAGGTATAGATGTGTTTGTACAGTTAATTTAGACCTCGAAGAAAAGTTGAAGTATTTGATTTCTTCGGCGTGACTTTTACTTAACAGCGGTGAGAGCAATCAAATCCTTGACACAGCTAGTGTTAAAACAGCTAGCCATTAGTAGCTGGAGCTCTTCGTGTTTTTGCCAGGATTCTCACAGCAAGTCACATCGTGGGGACGTTTCTTTTGCCAAAGGCGATCACCAGCGATGACGTTGTGCTTCCCAACACTAATAGGGCCCTGTTAATTTTAGCCTGGCGTGCGCTTCAGAGGAGAGCCACTTTGAGTTTAATTACAGTCTTCCTGAGGCAGCAATTTCACTATGATTTTGGTGGAGAAGAGGAAAAAAAGCGCGAGAAATGATCACCTCTTAAAAGTGTCTAAATTGCATCTTATTTTTCCCCTCTTTTTAACCACAACAAAAGGGACGGGCACAATAGCGCGGCATGTTTCCTTCCAATCTAGCGCGCTGTGACAAATTACAACGCCATTATCTGAGCTGTATTAAAGATGGCACAGGAGGACTGATGAGGCGTGATTGAAAAGTTTGTCATGTAAAGTTTCTTTCCAGCATGTTGCGCTTCCTCTCTGAGCTACAGCACATTATTAGCTGCCTAGCTTTACTCCATATAAATCTGATTCCTTTCATAACTGTCCTTTCAATATGCTTTAAACTGTGTCAAGTATGACTGTGTTGAATGTAAAAATGCATTCTTGACTTCACTTCATGATGTGTTTCAGGTTTGGACTTTTGGAAACGTCCTGGACTTCACCACCAGTAACATTCAAACACATTGTGATCTGGGTTTGGCAGAATGAATGATCTGACATGTGACATGTGATCTTAATTAGAATCTCAGAAATTAACCAGGGATCAGGATCAAAATGCAAAATATGAATTATGTTATCTAACATTGAACCTTATATTTGATTCTTGGCCTATTTAACTTTAGACACTTTAAAGACATTAAACTATTTGCGTTTAATTGAATTGATATAAATCAAATATACACACAACTATATATGTTAGAAATAAGGGAGATGTTCCTCATAAAGGTAGAAAAGGCCCATTAAAATCAATTGCAGGGGCATATAATGTAATGATAACTAAAAATAACTGATGCTATAAGTTATACATTGATAATCTTTACCTTGAGACTGGACTGCATCAGTGAGTTGAACTTCGGAACCGACTGATGAACACATCTTTCAGACCAGTTTTGTAAAACAAGTCAACCGAATCATTGAAAAGAAATCATTGAATGATTTTTTTTCCAAAATCTGACATTGCCATCCCTTGAATAAGTGAAGGCCTACATCAGAATCCATTTCCATTAATAATGGCGCACAGTTATTGTACGGTATGTGTTTAGAAAACTTGCAAAATGGCATACAAATCATATGGCTCATTTCCATGCTTTTATAAGCTTGAAAGCTTCAGAATTTCTTATTTTGTGATTCACAGAAGTGATAAAGGTTTGTAACAACATGAGGGTGAGTAATGACAGAATTTTACCCCTTTAATAGATATTAATTGTTTATTTTTTAATTAAATTGCACTGCCTTTACACAGTAAAAAATTATAATTCAAACAGAGACATTATATATTATGAAAAAATATAAGAAATAATGAAATATATAGCTAATTTAGTCCTAACCCAGGCATCTAGCAACATTCTGTATTACTTTATGTGAAGTTGAGAGCTCAAGCTTTGACCTCTATAAAACAGCAGTCAGACTTAAAGAGCTACATTTCCTCCTTCAGCTTTTGAAGCAGAAAGACGATGCCTGATGATCTGAAATCATTGCCTATTGTTTAAGCGTAAGGCAGAGTTGAGTTGTTTGGTATGTGTAATTGTCTCTCAGTATCATACTGTATGTGTGAGAGTGAGCCCTGTGGACTGAGCACCACCCCCCCACTGATGAGAGGATACCTGTGCAATCAGACGACACACCGAGAGCCATTGTATCATAATCACTCTCATTCACACACTTCAGCTTTCATCCTCATGATTCATTATCATTCTGTCAAAGTCATTTACCTTTTCTTCTTGTCTGGCCCTTCACTTGTGTTACTTCTCATGAGTCTCAGTTACTCTGTTGTTGTTTCTCTTCTCTTCTCTTCTCTTCTCTTCTCTTCTCTTCTCTTCTCTTCTCTTCTCTTCTCTTCTCTTCTCTTC